TTTTTTAAAGATGACCGGTAAGGGGATCTTAACCCTTGACTTGGTGTTGTCAGCACCGCACTCTACCGAGTGAGCCACGGGCCGGCCCAGAAGCAATTTTTGGTCACTAATTTTTCAGGTATTTGATACTGGGGGCAGCTGGTAGTTTACCTAGATGAGGACTGAGAGCCTTCCAGGTATAAGAAAAGTATGTCCTCTATTATAAATTAATAAATTGGTGAATTGTGTTTCTCCCTGAACCAATCACTAAACCAACAATCTGGTTAATGTATTTTAATATACAGTATCTACCTACTGAAGACTCTTACACTTAATCTCCACAACCATCTACCCGACATTTGCATTCAAGACTGAGGACTAGACCATGTCCTTTGTTTAATTTACTGTGTAAGCCTTTTGGTAATAAGCCATTAATGTCTCAACTTTAAATATCCTGCACTCAGGGCCGGCCGTGGCTCACTCGGAAGAGTGTGGTGCTGATAACACCAAGGCCACGGGTTCGGATCCCATATAGGGATGGCCGGTTGCTCACTGGGTGAGCGTGGTGCTGACAACACCAAGTCAAGGGTTAAGATCCCCTTACCAGTCATCTTTTAAAAATTAAAAAATAAATAAATAAATAAATAAATATCCTGCACACTAGTATAGCTGGGTTTTTTGTTTTTTTTTTCCTCTCTCTTTTTTTTTAAAAAGATGACTGGTAAGGGGATCTCAACCCTTGGCTTGGTGTTGTCAACACCACGCTCAGCTAGGGAGCCAACCAGCCACCCCTATATAGGATCCAAACCCGTGGCCTTGGTGTTATCAGCACTGCACTCTCCCAAGTGAGCCACAGGCCGGCCCTAGTATAGCTATTTTTATATTCCCTGTTGGTCTATGTCCATATGAGACATAATTTTACATAATTTCAATCACAGCGTATGTATCATTTAAGATTTGCTTTTAAAATATTTCGTGATTAGAAGTAATACATGCTCATAGAAAAATAAGGGGGGGGGAACAGAAAAGAAAATTATTATTATGTGATATTACTACCGCATAGTGATAGACACTGTTAACACTTTGATGTATTTCTTTATAGTCACATATGTGTAGTATAAAACTTAACATGCTGAGATTAAGATTATATTTTAAAGTTTGTAGGTTTTTATACTTAATGAATCTTAAACATTTCCTCATCTTTTAAAATACTACTGGTAAGGCCTGACCAATTAGCGCCATTGGTTAGAGCATGGTGTTGGTAACACCAAGGTCAAGGGTTCAGATCCCCATACTGGCCAGCAGCAAAAAAAAAAAAAATTTCTTGTAAAAATTTAATGGCTTTATTCTGTCATTCAGATGCACCACGTAATTATTTTGTTTCCAATTTTGTGCTGTTAATTCTAGCAATGCCATATTATCCAGGAGAGAGATATCTGGACCAAAAAAAAAAAAAGAGAGAAAAAAAATCATACTTTGGGTTCAGGTGGGAGAAGGACAAGTTGTTGATGCCATGATTTCTTTGTTTGTGTTACTCCAATAAATAGACCTTCTGTTTTAGGGAAGAAACATAATGTTATCTCAAATATATTAGCAATAGAGAAAAGAGGTGAATTTTAACAATTAAGAAGACAGTTGTAGCCAAAAAAAGTCAAAGTGAAAGGTTTCCTTTTTCTTTACGGGATCTGAATTTCCTCTTCAAATTTTCCAGTTAGGCTAGTTGGTTCATTACATTATCATGGGGGACAAATTAAAACCCCAGCTGCATGAATTTTACCCAATTTGGAGATTATGTGTTGATCTAAAATTAAAAACATAGCTTAAATAATGTATATAAAATTCTTCGGAAGCCCCAGAGTTATTCAGATAGGTAGGCTGTCAACCTCCAGAATCAGCTAACGTTTGTGTGAAAGACCCAGTGACCATGGACAGAGAAGGCAGTGGCTTCCAATAGGAGCTCTAAACTGAAAGTATCTGCTCTTTCTGTTTCAGGCCTGTGCAGGCACCCATGTGCATCTGTGTGTATGTGAGGGAGAATAAAGGTGAATAAATCTCCCAAGCAACTTTAGGGAAGGCAGTTATTTTAGACATGATTTCTAATTTATGGTCATTCAAAATAATTTTTTCCATTTTCTCCAGAATAGAAGTAACTTTATTATTAAACATTTGAAAATAAATTAAGAAGTTAACATGTAATATTGTGTCTTAATATCATTGTTAGTATTTTGGGTCATACTTTTAAAATGTATTTTAAGCATTTATAATCATATTATATAATTTTGCATTATGCTTTTGTTATTTAGCATGAGAAAATGCTAGATGCCTACAGTGCTTGACACATAGTAGGCACTAAATAAATATTTACTAAAGAATGAATTATTGACATGTTTTTACATAACCTTTTGAATGGACCACTTTTGAAGTGACTATGCCATAATTGACTGAATCATTATCCTTTTGCTGGATATTAGATTGTTGTTGGATATTAAATTTTCCTGTCTTAAAAATACATTGAATATTTTGATGTAGATCACTTTTCCTGAGGCATATAGCTTTGCTTATGGGGATTGTTTTTTAAGACAGACTCCTAGAAGTGATTGTGGGTTGAATTAATTATTAGTCAGAATTCTTGGTTGCAAGGGACAGAAATACAGATGAGAAACTTTTTGGCTTGGGGGCCGGCTCGTGGCTCACTCGGGAGAATGCGGTGCTGATAACACCAAGGCCACAGGTTCGAATCCCATATAGGGATGGCCGGTTGGCTCACTGGCTGAGCGTGGTGCTGACAACACCAAGTCAAGGGTTAGGATCCCCTTACTGGTCATCTTTTAGGAAAAAAAAAAAAGAAAGAAACATTTTGGCTTTTTTGGCCAGGGACTCCCAGGATAAATCTAGCTTCAGCCTCGGCTATATCGGGTGCTTAGATTACACTCTCAGAGCTTTGTGTCTTGTTTACCAGTGCTCTTCTTTGCTTCTCTCTGGCAGATTCTTGTCATCTGGTGGTAAAGATGAGCATTGACAATTTTGTGTAGTTTATAATCTTGACAAAAGACTTGAGAAAGATGATTGATTGGGCTGGCCCGTGGCTCACTCGGGAGAGTACGGTGCTGATAACACCAGGGCTGCGGGTTCGGATCCCATATAGGGATGGCCGGTTAGCTCACTTGGGAGAGCGTGGTGCTGACAACACCAAGTCAAGGGTTAAGATCCCCTTACCGGTCATCTTTAAAAAAAAAAAAGGAAAGATGATTGATTTAGCTGGTTTCTTGTGTCTGGCCCTGAACCAGTTAATTACTGTGGCCGGTAATTACTTTGGTCGAAGTACCTTGATTTACTAAGCCTGTATCATGTGCCCACAGCTGTGGAGTTAGGTTGTTTCCAACCAAATCCCATGGACGGAACAGATTATTTTAGAATGTATGGAAGTTGTTTCTCCCAAAGAAAGGACCGTGGACAGAATAAAAAATGATTTCTATTCTAAATATTTTATTAAAATGTTGGTATTCAATTATTTAATTTTAAATTATTTTATTAAGTATTAAATATTTTATAGACAGTTCTAATATTCTTGATAGCCAATGCTAAGTGAGTTCCAAAAGTTTATTCTAGACTTAGTAATATTTCTTTTTTTTTTTTTAAAAGATGACCGGTAAGGGGATCTTAACCCTTGACTTGGTGTTGTCAGCACCACGCTCACCCAGTGAGCTAACCAGCCATCCCTATATGGGATCCGAACCCGGGGCCTTGGTGTTATCAGCACCACACTCTCCCGAGTGAGCCACGGGCCGGCCCAGTAATATTTCTTTCTTTTTCTTTTTTTTTAAAAGATGACCGGTATGGGGATCTTAACCCTTGTCTTGGTGTTGTCAGCACCACGCTCTCCCAAGTGAGCTAACTGGCCATCCCTATATAGGGATCTGAACCCATGGCCTTGGTGTTATCAGCATCACACTCTCCCAAGTGAGCCATGGGCTGGCCCTGTATATTCTAGACTTAGTAATATTTCTTTTTGTTTTTTTATAGATGACCAGTAAGGGGATCTTAACCCTTGACTTGGTGTTGTCAGCACCACACTCTCCCGAGTGAGCCACAGGCCGGCCCTGTAATATTTCTTATTTTACTATACTTTAACAACATTGAATATTATTACTTTCTAAGTATTTTGCTGCTTTAATAGGTTAAAAATGGCACCTTGTTTGTATTTCCTTTTTTCACTTAACACCTATCATTAACTATTTTCTGTAACTGTAATTTATTTTATTTTATTATTATTTTTTTTTTTTCGTGTCCGGCAACGGATCACAACCCTCAGTGTCGCTCCCGTACCGGACCGGGACTGGCAACGGGATCGCAACCCTCGGTGTTGCTTCCACACCTCACTCAGCCAGTGAGCGGGAACCGGTCTGTATGTGGGATCCGAACCCTCTGCGGGAGCGCCACCGCGCTCCCAAGTGGCGCACTGTAGCAGTGCGCCACCAGGCCGGCCCTCTGTAACTGTAATTTAAATGGCTGCTTACTTTTCCATTTGACATTTACATAGTTTGCCAAGCTGTTTTCCAATTATTGGTCATTTAGGTTGTTTTATAATTCTTATTTTCTTAAATAACAATTATAATTGTAGGAAATAGGACTGCAAGTACTTTTCCATAGATTTTTATCTCTATTGAGTTTGTTTTTTGGAAAAAAATCCTAACAATTCTTGCATCAAAGGCGTAAACATCTTTATGCCTTTGCTTTTAAAGAATTTTACGAACTTGAACTTCTACCATTATTATATGATCGTAGTTATTTTACCACATCTTTACTGAGCATTATTTTAAAGAATGTTTACTGGTTGCTGAGGTATAAAAAGCGATTTCAAATTGTTTTAATTTGCATTTCTAAATTAATGAGTATTTCTGGTGAAAAATTTTATTTTTCTCTTGCATTCCCCAGCTCCTGTCTTCTCCTTACCCAGTCATTTAGAGTATAAATACTAGACATACCCTCTGCTTTATTTTATTTCTCGTTCTTGTTCCTAGGTCTGGTCCATCGAACTCACATGTCATCCTGTCGGGTGGATAAACCCTCTGAGATAGTAGATGTTGGAGACAAAGTGTGGGTGAAGCTTATTGGCCGAGAGGTAAAGTTCTGTGCAGCTTTCATGGGGTTAGAAAGGATTAGGAAAAGCTGGAATTTTCTTAGTATTTTATGAGGGTGAGTGTGTAAATGTTGTTAATTGTAGCTGACAATCTTATTTTCAGATTCTGCCACTATAATCTGTCCTGAATTTAAACCTTCTGGCTGTCTGTGCAGCATACTGAAAAGGAATGGTGTGAACTACAAAAATGTAATAAGTACATGCTTGTAAAACTTTCCTCCCTGAAGTTTACCCATATGGTGGACGGGAGGAAAAAAAGAACCAAAAAGAGAGAAGTAAACTTAATCTATGGGACAAGTCTTTATCACAAAGAATAGCTGCCAGGTACACTTCAACTTGGGCCCAAACAAAAAAGGACACAGAGTTTACAGTCCTTTTTCCTAATATTTGGCACCATGCAATGTGAGGGAAATGAAAAAGATCTGAAGGAGCCTGTTGATAACAACTCACTTGAGGCTGTGAAGGCTGTGGGTATGGGTAGACCTCGGGAGAAATAGAAACATACATTGAGTCCTGCTATTCTACCAGAGAATGGCAGGGGAGATAGACCTGAAAGAGCAATAGTTAACAATATTCGAGTGCTTAATATACGCTAGGTTTGGGGAATACAAGAGTGAGCCAGACATAAATGATTCCAGCTTATATATGGAGCTTATATAGAATATAAGTAGAGACGACAAATTAAAACTAAGTAAACAAACATACATAAAATAATTGCAAATTATAATGTGTTGTATTGGGTTTGAATAATATTGGAGGTAGATTTAGATAAAATTGTCAGGAAGGGACTCTCTGAGGAGATGGTATATATGAGCTGAAACCTAAAGGAAAAGGAACTAGTTATGTGAAGAGGTGGGATAAGAACATTCCAAGCAGAGGGAATAGCTGATGCAAAGACCCTGAAGCAAAGAATGGCTCAATATGCTGCAAGAAGTAAAAGAAGAACAATGTGACTAACAATTGTCTTTAGGCATAAAGAAGCTCTAGACCAAGTTAAAAAGGAGATTTAGTCTCCTGGAATGTTCTAAAACCCTTTCTGGGCTTATGGATCTCTGAACTTACTTGGAAGAAACAGTGTTTATTTTCTGCCTGGTTACCTCCACAGGCCTTGGATTTCTGAGCAACCATTTCTGTCTTTCCCTCAGAGAGATAGGAATAAGATAAAGACCATTTCCTAAAATTCTTCTGCCGTAAGGTCTGCTTCTTAATACTTCTTTGTATTTCCAGTGTTCCTAGCACAGTGCTTTTGTCCATTAGAGGAGCTCAGTGTTTGTTATGTTGATGAAAACTGATTCTTAGTCAGATAATTTTAGACTGGCAGTCTAAATGATGTACTTAGAGTTTTTGTGACTTTGTTTTTGTCTTTTTTAGATGAAAAATGATAGGATAAAAGTATCCCTCTCCATGAAAGTTGTCAACCAAGGGACTGGGAAAGACCTTGATCCCAACAACGTTATCATTGAGTAGGTAAAAGGTTTGGAAAAACTAAAATCCTCTATCTACCAAAGCATAGAATTCCGTAGTAAATCAGACTGAACTGGGAGCTCTACCCTTTATGGACTTTGTGATATTGAACAGTTATGTAACCTTTATGATCTTTGGTATTTAGAGGTATATGTATAGAAAGCACTACTGAATAGAGTTCTAAGATGAAATGCTAACATGCAAAGCTCCTGGCATAGGAATGCTCCATCAATGGTTCTGTTTCCTTCCCCTTAATCTCTTTCTGCTTCTGCCCTTTAACCAGCTAGCCAACAAGTATTCATGAAGTACTGTTATTTGCCTCTCTCCTAGTGATTTCTGCATTGGGGCTAAAAAATGGTAGAGATCATGTGGGAGGGTAGGGTAATCTAGGAACAACTCCAGTGGGGTTTAAACTCCCACATTTTGGGGTACACTGTGTTCTGAACATGAAACCTTACTTTCATTGGCCCTTCTGACCTTTCATTTAAGAATGGAAGATTTTCTGTCCGTGTAGGATAATATCTGGTGATACAGGGAATTTGCTGTCTGTCTCAAAGTCTTTCTTGAATTTCTAACCAGGGGCTTTTGGCTCCCTAAGACCCCTTTAAGGGATCTTAGGGGGTTTATTAACTGTTTTTAGTGTTTCAGAAAACCAACAGAAATCATACATTTATCCGCAAGTTGACCATGCTAGTTGTTATTTTGTTGCCTTTTTTTTTTTTTTTAAAAGATGACCGGTAAGGGGATCTTAACCCTTGACTTGGTGTTCTCAGCACCATGCTCACCCAGTGAGCTAACCGGCCATCCCTATATGGGATCCGAACCCGTGGCCTTGGTGTTATCAGCACTGCACTCTCCCGAGTGAACCACGGGCCGGCCCTTTTGTTGCTTTTGATAATAAAATATCACATTGTTTCTCTCATTCTAATTAGATGCTCTCAGTGGCAGTTATGTCATTAATTAATAAAATAATAATAATAATAATGTTATTTGAGTGGGATCTTCATGGCAAAAAGTTTGGACCCTTATTTATATAGCTTTGAGTAAAATCATTTTGACTATGAAGGAATTTTATCTACAGGAAAGGAAATTATATTTATTGAATACATACTATGTGCCAGGCATTATGCAAGGCAGTTTATGCGTGTTAGTGCATGGAATTCTCATAACAACCTGTGAAGTGGATGTTATCTCCATTTTAATTTATATTCCCATTTTATAGTTTTGTGCTTGTTGATAAATAACTTGCCTGTGGTTACATAGCAAATTATAGTGGGTCAAGAGCTTGAATCTTGGTCTCTCTGACATTAAAACTAATGCCCTTTTTCCTACATAATGTTTCTAGATGTTGCAGGTGACTTACAGAGTTTTTCATATTTCTGTAGTTTAGTCTCTAAATATTGAAATGTTTGTAGGGCTTATTATTGACAAAACACTTTACACTTACAGTAGAAATCTTTTATAACACGGAATTCAGAAATGTTATTTAAGTCTGGCACTTCCTGATTGTGTTGTAATAAATTGCTTCTGCTCCAAAGAATTTTATGCTATAGAGACTCATTAAAAAGCAGTGAAATTTCCCAAAGCCACCTTTATAATGGTAAAATATAAAACAAGATAAAAGAGCTAACTCTGTTTCTCAGAAACAGGGTATAGAAGGGAAAGGGCTCCCTGGTTTTCAACTGTACATGTCTCTGTGTATAGGCTATTTCTAGTATTAACAAAGTGGCTAAAACAATAACTTGTTGTAAACCATGTCTGTAGCTGCGTCCAGGAAAAAAGCGTGGTATAATAGAATGATTACTGGTTTCAGAGTTAGACTTGAATCAGAAAGAGTCCTAGTTCTACTCCAAAATAGTATATGACCTTGAGCAGATTATTTATTCTCTCTGAACCTCAGCTTCTTCACTATTAAATGGAGGTAATGACACATATCTCAGAAATGATGGAATTTTAGTAAAGATTTAAGTAAAATCTTGTTTGTAAGGAACCAGTTTGGTGTCTAGTGTATAGTAGACATTTCATATGTGTTGCTGCTTGTAGTTATTGTTTTAAATGCCTCTCTGTTTCTCCCCTAATGTCTGAGATTATAATCTTTTCTTTGGAAAGAATGAGTAAGACCCATGAAAACAGGGGTGTAGAGTAGGATCTCAGATTCTTCTGCCCCTTCCTATGCAGGCCGTGAGTCAGGTAATTGAAAAAAGATATCTGGCAGCTTTATGCAAAGTAGGCATACTTTATTGTTCAGACGTGAGCTTCACAGACACTCTATCCTCAGACATGAGCTCAAGCTCTACTCCACTGAACCTCTGTGCTCTGCTCTGCCTTCTGTGCTCTGCTGAACAGCAGTTCAGAGCAGTTACTTTTATATTCTCTATACACAATAGCGACCACAAGCCAAGCATTACATAATTACAACAATCATGCTGAATCAGTAAGTGGGCACACATGCGCAGTTACACTACTTTTATAACTTGTTTCTAGTGAGTGTGCTGAATCTTGCCCATTTGTAACAGATGTGAGGCAAGTGAGCCTGACTAAACTTTTTCTGCTTTCCTTACAGGGGACCATGTCTTATCTTTCTTATCTCCCATAGTGCCTAATATGTAGCATTCATTTAGTTGGTACATTCATCTACTCATTTATTCAATACATATAAGGCAGCATGTAATAATGCTAAAAAAGATTGGTTTAAGGAAAGACTTCTAGGAATTAGCTTGAAGAGGAAGAGATTTCAGACCATGGTGGCCAGAGAGAAGGTGGCTGGCATTTGAGCTAGATCTTGAAGAATGGATAAGATTTTGTTAGTTAGTCCCCATCGGGGTCCTGAGTAATGGAGCCTGAGGAAGCTGAACCCAGCTGCAACCAGGCACACTGGCGCTGCTGCCCTGGGGCCCTTCCAGGGTCCTGAGGTATGGAGCCTGGGGAAGCTAAACCCGGCCATAACCAGGCACACTGTTGCCACTGCCCTAGGACCCTGTTGGGGTCCTGAGGCATGGAGCTAGGGGAAGCTGGACCCAGCCATAACCATGTAAAGAGCACACCAAAAACACCATTTCCATGCGGGTGGCCCACCATAGCAACTGCAGTTGCCACGGCTGCCACAAAAGCAGCTAGTTGCTACAAGCAGTAGTCATAGCCACTGTGCAGATGGCAGACCAGACCCTCAACTGCATCGACACAAGGAGAGTCACCAGTAGAGACCAAAGAAAAAAGAAGAGGTCCTCTCCCTCCACAAAGCACACTCCAGAGTAATAGAAGAAGCATCAATAGTGGGAGACCTGAACACACCTCTCTCAGTAATGGACAAGTCATCTAGGCAACAAATCAATGGAGAAACAGAAGGAGAGAACAAATCTATGCTTATTGGAGGGGGAGGGGGAGAGATTGGATAAGGGGCATAAAGAATAAGTATGATTTGTAATAATGAATATGCTAATCAAAATAAACAAATTGTATTTGTATTAAAAATAATTTTTTTGTCAGTCAGCAAGGGAAGGAATAGTATTCCAGACAGAAGAAATGGTTTGAGGAAAGGCATGAGGCAGGAAAATACATGGCACATTTGGGAGTTTTGTTTAAAGAAAGAAGAGGAGGTGTTCAAGTACTAGAATGTAAGATTTGAAAGATATGTTGGGATCAGATTGTGTAGGGCCTTGAATATCAGTCAAAGAATATGAATTATTTTAAAAGCCTTTGAGTGGGAGAGGCTCCTGAACAGATTAATTTCCCCAGGCACCCCATTCTCTGTCCTAGCCCTGTTATGCTCAATATCCTCATGCTGTCTTTAGTCACCCATAGTTTGTCAGCCACCTTTCATTTTCCATCAAAATCTAGCTGTCTTATATTTCATTCCCTCAGGCCCCAAGGTATTAAGGTAAAAGCTTTGGAAAAACTAAAATCCTCTATCTCCCAAAGAATTCCGTGGTAAATCAGACTGAATTGGAAGGGAGTAAAAAGGGGAAGCACAGAATTTCAGGAGAGGGAACAGCATGAGCAAAAGAACTGAGCCATCCAAAGAAGGTAAAATAGTCTTTTTTTGGCCAGATCATATTGTATAAGTAAAGAGGAGTCCCTGTACTGGCCAGCCATCAATCAATCAATCAATAAGTAAATAAATTTAAATTTTAAAAAAAGGTGAGGCTTAGAGACAGGTTAGAGGTTAGAGACACACTGAAAAAAATAAGGCCTTGAATACCAAGGTAAGGAACTTGGCCTTGACTTTCTAGAAAGCCTTTGAAGGTCTTTTAAATCCATGAGTGACCTGGTAAGGATTGTAGTGTGTTTAGCATGGTGAGTAATTATGTTTTCACCCTCTGTGCATTAGTGAAATGAGGCCTAGTCTCATTCATAATTGTAAATTCAGAGCCTTGTCCTGAGTGAAAAAATTAGGCTCTTTCATGTCGTTGCTTTCACTGCATGTCTCATTCTGTCCAACACTTTTCCTTCTCTCTCCCTTCTCCCTGCCAAAAACAAAACAAAAAAGCAACATATGGCATTACCTTGTACTATCTCTGGCTACATCTCTTAAGAGGGCCAGCAGTCAGTATCTTTTTCATTACAGGCAAGAAGAGAGGCGGAGGCGGTCCTTCCAGGATTATACTGGGCAGAAGATAACCCTTGAGGCCGTCCTGAACACTACCTGCAAGAAGTGTGGCTGTAAAGGTAAGGTAAAGCCTCCACCATTTCTGTCTTTCCCTCCTTGTGGATGGACCCTTTACTGAACAAAGGAGGCAGCCCAGTGTTAGTTTAGCTCACCCTGTTTTTTAGCCAAGTGATGGCCTCACCTGCTCATACTGTTACTCCTACCAGACTCACAGCAGGGTGTATGGCTTCATGCTTTTTCTGTTTACTTTTCTGAATGCTGGACCTGCCGGGTACTATATTACCACCACCATTCCCCTCCCCCTGCCATCCGCCCTCCCCCAGCCTCTGCAGCTGATGCTCTGCCTGGGCAAGGTCTCCATTTACTATGCCAGGAAGGATGAAAGTGTTGGATTATGATTAATACTCTAAATTTTATCTCCAAAGATTATTGTTCTGCAAAAATTAAGTGATTTAGAAATAGATTCTTTAAAGATCCAAGTTAAACCCTTTCTTCCTCATCTTTCTCTCTTTAAAAACAGAATAGTAATAAAGAATATAGGATAGTCACTTCTTTTTAGCTCTATTTCCTCAGGTTTCCTGTAGTCTTACTCAAATATTAAAAAGCTCCTTCAGCCTGACTTCCTGTTGGAGCTATAATGAGAGGGATTGCCAGCTTCTCATTTTCAGAGTGACGTCAACTTGTCACTCCTTTCTAGCCTTCCATCCATCTGGCTCTGTCGATTTTTCTGAAATGACTGGTAGCAGATTTGTGCCCTGGTTGAAGTTGTGGTGTTTTAAGCCCCTATTTATCATAAATGTAGAGAGACAAAAGGAAAAATAAAATTGAAAGAATACCTCTTCATGGTAATTTTGGAAGCATTCCCGATATTTAGAAAACTGTGCTGTATTCCCTTTCCAGACACCATCCCTCTTCTGAACCCAGAGGTTCAAAGTAGTTTACACATAACTTTTTGATTTTTTTTATATAATTCCTCTCTGTCCCTGAGACAGCATCTACCACAAGCTCAGATAAAACTAGCTGTTAGAGCATTGTATCTGTTAAAGGGCCCCTTAGTAGCACTATAAGCTCAGGGAGGGTGGAGTCTCTTTCCTACAATTTGTGTCTAACAGGCATTACATAAGGCAGAGAAGAATAATGAGAGGTGGAATTTGTCCCAGATAGGAAGGGTCTGGCCCAGGTAGTTGGTTTGGGTGCAGTAGAATAAGCAGAGGGCAGGGAGACATGAGACCTGGGATAAGTTTTAGCTCACTACTGTCTGTATGACCTTCAGCTACTTCTCAGTTCTTGGCCTTCATTTCCTTTGCAAATATAGGATGATATTGGATTTGATGATTCCTAAGGCCTTTGCCAGACCTGACAATCTGTGAATGTTCAGTGCCCCTAGGTGACTGTGCCTGTCTCTCTGTGTGTTAGCTTGGATATTACTGCCCACTTCCTGCCAACTGCCCAAGAGCTGTCTTCCTTTAGGACTTGGCGTGCCACTCAGCTCCCTTTGCCGAGCATCCTGCTTTCTGGAGCAGCCTTTTGTTGTCAGGAATAAGTTCCAAGACAGATCTTTAAAAATTAATAAGCCCCATTGCTAACAGAGGGCAACACAAGCTTGTATCCTCATATCCTTATATCCTCTGCCATTTCCAAAGCAGCACCAGTGTTTCACACAGCTTTAAGACCAGCTGCTAGTCTGGCTCTGGTTGAATAAGCAATGCCATTTTGAAGTGATGGAAAATCTGCTCTGAATCAAACAGCTGCTCTGAATGAACAGTAATGTTTCCTGAACCAGCTAGCCCCTTTCATGAACCTCTGGGAAAGATCTACCTGCTGAGAGAGACTAATTCCTCCCTCTCTACCTTTTCTACTTCTTTTCTGAAGGCCACTTTGCAAAAGATTGTTTCATGCAACCAGGTGGGACCAAATACTCTCTGATACCTGATGAGGAAGAGGAGAAGGAAGAGGCAAAGTCAGCAGAGTTTGAGAAGCCTGACCCCACAAGGAATTCTTCTAGAAAAAGAAAGAAGGTGAGAGCTATCTTGCTTTTAGTTTATTTATCATATATTTTTTGAATTTTAAGTGAAAATGTGCTTTTTGCAGATATTTTGTAAGTACTAAAAAACATAAAGAAAAAAATCAAGATCTCTTATAGTCTTTCCACCCAGAGAGACTCCAAGTATTTTTTATATATTTTAATCTTTTTTCTAGGTAATAATAAATACAGATATATATAGCTACACATACATATAAACACGAAATTATACTCTACTTTTTTCATTTTACTTATCGAAAGCATTTTCTAGTATCCTTAAAAGTGTTCTTCAAAAACTTGATATGGGCTAGCTGGTTAGCCCAGTTGGTTGGAGCATGGCGATAACGCCAAGGTCAATGGTTTAGATACCCTACTGGCCAGCCACCAAAAAAAAAAAAAAAAAACCCAGCTTGATTTAAGAACAGCATAATATTTTACCATGTAGCTGTACTGTGATTTATTTAATTGTTTTCTTATTGTTGGATATTTTTTATTACTTCCAACCTAAATTTTTGGCCACATTTCTTATTGTTTTCTTTGGGTAAATTCCTAAGTAAGATTACTGAGTTAGGGTTTTAAGGCTTTTGATACATTTTATTAAATTGCTTTCCAGTTAGTACTTATCTGTCCCCAGCAGTGTATAACAGTGCCTGTCTCACTGAGTTCTGCCTTGTACCTACTATCTAGAACAGAGCAATTCATAACACATTGTTGTGGTGCAGAAAGAAACAGTGCATTTGTAGCATGCTACACAGAGAGAAAATAAAAGAACTATACTATAGTTTAGTCAGGAAATAGTTGTTCTTCTATCATGTATGGTTTTTCTAACTGTGGCCAGTTATTGGGTTTTGTTTTTTAAAAAAATCTTTGGCAACCTTTTGTTGAGTGGTCATTTTGTGCTAAGTGTTACAAACTCTAGGAATACAAAACTATTTGAGTGCATTGCCCTCAGTGGTCATTATCTACAAATTAAGTATTCATTTTACAGGTAAGGAAAAGGCTCAATATACCATTATAAGAATTAGCCAAGTATATGAATAATATAATTTTCAATCTGTGTATTCTCTCCCTGGGTAATCCTATCCCTCCTAAGACTTGCTGCCTTCGTTGGCTTCCACAGTTCTAACTAGCGTCCCACAGGTACCTTAAACTTTGGCTTGGAGTCAACCAAACCGAGGATTGAGGCTCTTATGTGCTACTTACCAGCTATGTAATTTTGGGCTCTGTAACTTCAGTTCCTTCATTTTCAAAATGGAATTGTTGTGATCTTTGATGACAGTGTTCCTTGCAGAGGAATGCCCAGATACCCAAAATAGATACAAAGCACTGACAAGTAAGTTCTTAATTAATGTTGACTGTCATGACAATCATTATCTCTTTTTCAGCCCTCCCTGCTAAACACAGACACACACACCCTTTCCACCTCCACCACCACAAAACAACCACCACCAGGGCCAGCCGGTGGCTCACTCAGGAGACTGTGATGCTGATAACACCAAGGCCAAGCGTTCAGATCCCTACATAGGGATGGCCAGTTAGCTCACTTGGGAGAGCGTGGCAGATCCCTACATAGGGATGGCCAGTTAGCTCACTTGGGAGAGCGTGGTGCTGACAATACCAAGTCAAGGGTTAAGATCCCCTTACGGTCATCTTTTCAAAGAAAAACAAAACAAAATAAAACAGCAACAACAACAACAAAAACCCACCACCCATAAAACCCTTGTTTCTTTCCTTCTGTCTTATATTACCTGTTTTTTTTTTTTTTAAAAGGATGACCGGTAAGGGGATCTCAACCCTTGGCTTGGTGTTGTCAGCACCACACTCAGCCAGTGAGCAAACCAGCCATCCCTATATGGGATCCGAACCCGCGGCCTTGGTGTTATCAGCACCGCACTCTACCGAGTGAGCCACGGGCCTGCCCTTATATTACCTGTTTTAATGGCAGCAATACTCTCCTAATCTCCCCATACCCTCTTATTTCCGAAGAAATAAACCAATGTCATTTATTTTCCTCTCCTTTCCATCCCACATCTAGTCAGCCAGCAAGTCCTGTCAGTGGTACCTTTTATGTATCTCAAAGTTCTCTTCCTTCCTCCCACTCCCATTGCCAAGGGTCAGTTTATCCCCTCACATCTCTCACATTCAGACTGTTGAACTAGCCTAGGGAATTTTAAAAATAATAATTTGCCCCCCACATCTTAGGTACCAAGTTCACAGCACATAGGTCTGGGCATCTGATTTTTTTTTAAAAAGCACATTCTTTATCTCACTGCCTACTTTGTCTTCATTATTGATTTCTCACCCTCTGCTTAACTCTGAATATTGGAGTGCTTCTAGGTAATCTCATCCTGTCTTGTGGTTTTATTTGTTTTTGTTTTTGTTTTTTCTTTTTTCGTGACTGGTAAGGGGATCGCAACCCTTGGTGTGGTGTCACCCACACCGCGCTCAGCCAGTGAGCGCACCGGCCAGTCCTATGTAGGATCCGAACCCGCGGCAGGAGCGTCGCTGCGCTCCCAGCGCCGCACTCGGAGCCACAGGGCCGGCCCCTGTCTTGTGGTTTTAAATACCATCTGTGTACTGATAACCCCCAAATTAAGTATTTTATCCTTATTTTTGTCCAAATCTTAATTTCTATCCCTGATTTTTTTCTCTCAAACTCCAAATTTAGATATCACACTGTCTGCTTGACATCTCCATCTGATTGTCTAGTTGACATCAAGGTCAACACACCCTAGAACTCTTAATATTCCTACCCAAAGCTGCTCCTTCCACGTTCTTCCCTGTCTCAGTGAATGGATCACATTCATTCACCCATTTGATCTAGCCCAAATCTGCAGCCTTTGGGTATAGCATTTATTTTTAATTGTAGTAAAATACACATAACCAAATTTACCATCTTAACTATTTCAAGTGTATAGCTCAGTAGTATGAAATAGTCACTTAAGGGCTGGCCCCATGACTCACTCGGGAGAGTGCAGCGCTGGTAGCGCCAAGGCCGGGGGTTCGGATCCTATATAGGGAAGGCCCATGTGCTCACTAGCTGAGTGTGGTGTAGATCACACCTGCTGAGGATTGCGATCCCCTTACCTGTCAAAAAAAAAAAAAAAAAGTCACTTGACTGGGGAAAAATAAATAAAATAAATACGCTTATATTGTATGATTGTCACCGTCATTTATCTTGGGAATTCTTTTCATATTGCAAAACTAAAACTTTGTACCCATTAAACAATAATTCCCCATTCTCCCCTTCCTCCTGCTCCTGGCACCCTGACCATTCTACTTTCTCTCTCTATGAATTTAACTATTCTAGGTACCTCATAGAAGTGAAATCATACAGTGTTTGTCTTTTTATGCCTAGCTTATTTCACTTAGCATAATGTCCTAAAAGTTCATCTACGTTGTAGCATATGTCAGAATTTCCTTCTTTTTAAGTCTAAAAAATATTCCACTGTATATACCACACTTTGTTCATCAATTCATCTGTCAGTAGACACTTGGGTTGCTTCCACCTTCTGGCTATTGTGAATAATGCTGCTATGAACGTGGGTGTGCAGATATCTCTTTGAGACCCAGATTTCAATTCTTTTGGGTATATACCCAGAAGTGGAATTGCTGGATCATATGTTAATTCTGTTATTCCCACTAGCAATGCACAAAGGTTTCAGTTTCTCCACATCCTAGCCAACACTTATTTTCTGTTTTTCGGTTTTTGTTTTTTTGTTTTTCTGCATAATAGCTTTCCTAATATGTGTAAAGTCGTATTTCTTGTAGTTTTGATTTGCATTTCCCTAATGATTAGAGGTGTTGAACATCTTTTTATATGCTTATAGGTCATTTGTATGTCATCTTTGGAGAAATGTCTATTCAAGTCCTTTGACCATTTTTGAATTGGGTTGTTTATTTTTGGCATTTGTTGAATGTTGAAGTTCTCTATATATTCCGGATACTAACCCCATCAGCTATATGATTTGCAAATATTTTCTCCTATTGTGTGGGTTGCCTTTTTACTCTTTCAATAGTGTCTTTTTTTTCTTTCCAGATTTACATTTTTTAAAAATTGTGGTAAAAAACACATAACATAAAGTTTACCATGTTAACTATTTATAAGTGTACAGTTCAGTAGTGTTAAGCATATTCTTGATAATATTCTTTGTACAAAGAAGTTTAATCTCAATAAAGTTAAGCTTATCTATTTTTTATTTCTTTTTCTTTTTTTTTTTTCGGTGGCTGGCCTGAACAGGGATCCAAACCCTTGACCTTGGTGTTATAACACTGTGCTCTAACCACCTGAGCTAACTGGCCAGTCCTATTTTTTCTTTTATTGCTCGTGCTTTCAGTATCGTATTCAAGAAATCATTGCCAAATCCAATGTCATGAAGCTTTTTCCCTGTTTCCTTCTAAGAGTTTTATAGTTTTGGCTCTTAAACATTTAAGTCTTTGATTCATTTTGAGTTAATTTTTGTATATGGTGTAAAGTAAGGGTCAAACTTTTTTTTAAATGTGGATATGCAGTTTTCCCAGCACCATTTGTTGAAAAGACTGTTCTTTCCCCCTCTTAAATGGTCTTGGCACCGTTGTCCAAAATCATTTGACCATATATTTAGTTCTGAGCTCTCTGTTATATTACATTGGTCTTGATGTCTGTCTTTATACCAGTACCACACTGTTTTGATTACTGTAGCTTCATTGTAAGCTTTGAAATCAGGAAGTATGAGTTCTCCATCTTTGTTCTTCTTTTTCAAGATTGTTTTGGCTATTTGGGGTCCTTTGAGATTCCATACAAATTTTAGGATGTATTTTTCTATTTCTGCAAAAAACATTTTTGGGATTTTGATGGAGATTGTGTTGAATCTGTAGATTGCTTTGGGCAATATGGATATCTTAACCATATTAAGTCTTCTAATCCTTGTTAACAAGATGTCTTTCCATTTATTTGTGTCGTCTTTAATTTCTTTCAGTAATGTTTTGTAGTTTTCAGTATACAAGTCTCTCACC